TGTGCTACAGATCGATATCATTCAATTCACAATTGCAGTTGTTTGCAGAAAGCTAGAGCTAAATAGTGGTATGACATAGTGCAGATAGAATTATTGATGTTCCACTATTGCAATAAATTGAGAGTAATTTTCGAATATGAATTTCTTCGATTCTTTAGAAAATGCTTTATGATTTCTTATTTGTTTCATCTCTAAAGGTAAAATATTGCAAGTTTTAGGCAAAGTGTAAGTCAAGAAACGGTGACAAACACTTTTATTGTATTTTGGGGTGGGTAGCAATTTGTTTGTTGTGCTTCTAGTAGAATATGCTGTAACGGTCCACTAGTGGATCGTTCATAACTCCTGTCCATCATAGGTAATACACTCATGTTATGCTGCGGGATGCATTGTTTTCAGAGACTTGATCGCTGAAAATCCTACTTAGAAACTACTTTGGGATACTAACCATGTCAGTTTCAACACCCAGTAATAATCAAAATGAATCGTACTTACATTGAACCCTCGTCAAACTGTTTTCTCATTGTAATTAAATCAGGCTACCTACCCTGTTACCTGTAAAGGATTTCATCTGATGTGTTTTCGATTTCATATAAGTATTATTTCTTCAAGGGGTTATGTTTATTTTGCAAGTAAATATTAGCGAACAGCTGTTTAGACTATCACGTCTTATTCTTCCCGTTTTATATTCGTTTGGCACATCTGTGACCTAGTCGTAAGAAGCGTAAAACCTAATAATATATATTGCCAGTAAGGGACTTAGCAAGAAAGGTCTTCAAGGCAAAGCACTACTCACACCACACTCGGCACCTGTCACGGTTTCCGAAGTGTCCTGTGAGCGAGCAGCCTGATGTAAATAGGGTTTTTGGAAACGTCAGAGTACCTCCGGGAAGAACGACGATTCTCTCTCTCTCTCTAGGGGCCATTTTTCTGAAATGCCACGAAAATTTCGTGCTGTTGAACTTAAACAGAAAATTATGAAAATTTTGGTGATGAAGGCCGATTAACACCTTTAGGCAAGTATAATAACACTTCTGCAATAAAGTACACTGAAAATTATATATTGAACAATAACAAAATACATCGAAAAACACATGCATCATGATGACTTCTTTTCAGGCCTTCATGGTATGGGTATACCGCCATTTTGGTATAATAATAGTCGTGTCGTTATACACGACGCCATAATGATGGCGAACAAGGTTTAAAACCCTGTTATTTCAACCACAATTGCTACTGGTGCAATACTATGTTTATCCGTTGTTCCTGTTTCTAAAAGTTATTTTTCTGGACCCATGCTGATATGCCACTGAGAACAGTTCCTCCGAATTTGGTATATTCGTGATGGATGATGAGATTCGTTTGGTAAAAGCTACGTTACACTTATAGGGATGACCTACTGTAAGTAGATTTTTCACTTAATTTTGCCAACCTGATGAGAAGATGGACTGCACCATTTGATTTGGATTTAATACTATTACTTATTATTGTCTGCCTTTATATACCCTCTCCTTTGTGAGAAAGGGAGTATCAGCGCTGATAGTCCGTTTCATAGGACTTGGTTATATTTCCAGAATTTATATCACACCTGTGGACCATTTATCCAGTTTTTAATGTTTCCTTTTGAAGCCACAGTGAGGCTAAGTTTCAGATTTAAGTACTGCTTATCTTAGTATATATTTGTACTAACGAATTCTGACTAAAACAGTTTTGTATACTATTGGATCATAAAAGATAACAAAACTGTTGCAACTATTCATAAGATTAAATACTAACAGATTATTTCAGTAATTCTTAAGCTAAAGTTAATTCTTAAATACTCCAGGAATTGGGTCCAATTTAAATTTGAATATTACATATGATATATTATTGTAACTTTGAGGTAATTCGGTCATTATAGCATGGATTTAGAAAAACTCCAGTACTGTTGATATTTTTGTTTTGTCTCACCCTATTCCTTCCCAGATAATACTGGGTGGCGCCCACATTTACCTATTTTTATGAAATTAAATCCACGACCATCTCTACCACTGAAGAGCAACCGTGTAGTGAGGCCTTAATTTCATCTCTTGTTGAAATTACGCCACAATGCTGTGGGAAAAGAAGTATGAAGTATTTTATTTTTGAATGCATACATACATAGACTATGAAAATATAATGTTCTGATATTACTAATATCTTCTGTATATAGAAGGTTAGTATGAAAAGATCTCTGTTTTTTGAAAATTATTTTCAGAATATAATTTTGTATTGTATTTAATTTTTGTAGAGAATTTTTATACATTGCTCCCCACACCAAAATACCATATCGAAATAGTGATTCAGCTAGAGATTTATAAATTGATATAAGTAGTCTATTCGATAAGAACTGTCGTAACTGGTAAAATTTATATATTAGCTTCCTCACTTTTTTTGGTAAATTATCAACATGATTGTTCCATCTGAGATTCCTGTCAATAATTATGCCCAAATATGCGATCTCGTTTGTTTCCTTGATTTCATCTTTCATACCTGGAACTTCAATACTGGAAAATGTTGGTCTATTTGTATCTGTTATAGTGAGTGCGAGATAGTGGGTTTTACTAGCATTTAGTGAGAGACGATACATACTCAACCACTTATTAATCATTTCCATGCCTAACTGGACAGTATTTTTTGTTTCAGACCATGTATTTTCACTAAAAATTGCAACCGTATCATCGGCGTATGATATAATTTTTGCGTTCACTTCTAAACAGAGCAATGAATTTATATAGGCTTGAAAAAGTATTGGGCCAAGAACGGTTCCTCGAGGGACTCCCATTTTTACAGTCATAGTTTCACTTATTGTATCATTGATTTTGACACACTGTTTGCGATCGGCTAAATAACTATATGAAAGACATCCAACGCTGCACCACGAATACCAAGACGCTCCAATACATCAAGCAGTATTTCATGATCAACAGTGTCGAATGCCTGTGATATATATATCCTGGAAAAAAGTACTCTCTTTTTTCCCACGGGAAAAAAGTAATTTATGAAAAGTGACATTTTATAACCTGTCAACAGGGATGAAATGCCAAACTTCTTTCCCGTCACAAAAAAAAAGTAATTTTTTAGTGACCTTGAATTTTTGGCGCGGACACTTTATTAGGCGCGTTCAGTACTTTTTTTGGTGAACAAAAACTTTGCATTTCGCGTCATCGCGAAAGGGCTATAGTGTGGGACAATGATCCACTACGCTGATTGGGAAGTACACTCGGAAGAAGAATTCCAGTCCTTTCTGTAGGTAAAATATAATAAATACTAGAGATACTTGTGAATGAATTGATATATTAGCATAATAAATATAATCTCCTTTCTACCAGATTGAATTTTCTATACATGGTGAGTCATTGGGAAAAACGCGTACAGTAAGGATAGATAGAGGAAATCGAGGTGCTACTAGATAATCTATATTTTATCTATCTTTATGAACACAACACAGGGTGATTTATTGTTTTTCTTCATATTTTCAATTTATCATAACTTATGAACCAGCCTCTATACATTTTTGTGATATTTGGTTTATATGTTCTTTGTGCACAGCTGTGACAGTTGACATTAAAACTTATTCCACATCCGGCCTTGAAAAATTAACAATTACTTCGGAAGCCGAAAATCAATTTCGAAATCTCATTTACGAATTTGGCAACACTAGGAAAAATAGGTAAGAACAAATTTATTTTGTGTTTCCGCATTAAACTTTCCACCTATTAACTTTAGTCAAATCTAGATGTTTCGATAAATGAGGTGGAATATTATTTTTCCATTTTTGATCCATGAAATCATCAACTAATCCTTATTCTCCTAATTTATGGATCAAACATCTGATTGAGGAACGAGAGGACATGTCCGTATTTGGAACAAATTATCATTATCAATGACAAATTATTATTATTATCAATTATTTTATGCACCCTGTATGTTGAAGAAAATTATCATATCGTTCGTTCATTGCACTACATTCTATACAATAAATATGAAATTGAGGATAATAATGCCTTATTTCATGTGTGTATCCTATGGGAAACATGTTGTTCCCATGGATATCATCATGGGAAGCGGTTCTCCTGAAATGTGTAGGAATAGTTCCCTATACAATTAATTGTTCAAGAATACATCATCTCAAATTTCCATGGAAAATATCGAGTTTTTTTCCATTTTTTTTATCGCTTGGAGCTCACGAAAGGGAATCCCTATAATGTTCAAAGAGCATCGTGCGTTCCTAGGGAGGATAGGGAAAGGAGGTAGGTATTGGAATTTTTTTTGAACTTTTGGAGATTATATGTTGTTGGGAATACTTCCACAGGCAATGAATTCCAGAGCCTAGCCGTTCTATGGATGAAGGAGTCTTGATAAAGTGCTGTTCGACATCTTTCGAGGTTGACAACGAAAGGATGTGCTGACTGGGCTTGTCTAGTTCGTCTGATTGGTATTGCTAGTGAAGGGATGATAGCAGAGATTTTCGAAGAACATTTCCCGTGGAAGTATCGATAGAAAAGTGAAAGGTCGCCGACCTTTCTACGGTGTTCCAATGATGTCAAAGAGTGAGTGAGTGTGGCGTCACCCACCAGGCGAATGGCTCTTCTCTGGATGGAATCTAAGAGCATCAGCGTATGTTTTGGTGCTGAACCCCATATGTGGGAACAGTATTCTAGAACAGGCCTTATCTGTGCTTTGTAGATCATGAGAAGCTGTTGAGGTGTAAAGTAGCCTTTCGCACGGAACAAGAATCCGAGTTTTTGTGAAGCAGCTTCTGCGATGGATCTGACATGATTATCCCATGAAAGAGTGTTGCTGATGGAAATACCGAGCATAGATATGGTGGGCTTGGTGGGGATGGTGGAGTCAGACATTACAATATCGGGCATACTGGGTTCCGCCTTTCTAGAGAAAATGCAGGCTTGAGTTTTGGTGGCGTTGAATTCAACTAGGTTGTTTGTTCCCCAGCAATAAACTGAGCCTATTCTACGTTGCAGGGCAAAACGGTGGAGACGGAACGATGCGGCACGGGCATCGGCGGCAGCTGGGAGTGCTTCCTGGGCGGCGGCCTGACCGGCGAGCTGGCGGCGGAGGTGCCCGAGGTAAAGGCGGAGGTGGGGCCGTACTGCCGGTGCGGGTGCGTCGTGCACCTGGGAGCGGCCAAGCCAAGGCGGCTGCTGGCGACTACGGCGCAGAGTTGCCCGGGGCGGACCTTCTGGCTGATCCAGGTGAGTCGCAGCTCGTCAATGCGTTGTTTTCCCAAGTATCATAATCCTGTAGAACGGTTATAATGTCGCAACTCAGATGGACCTCCACCAAGTGTCGCAACTCAGATGTTGACCCTTCTATAGGTCGTAACTTAGCTGCTCGCTTTGCTTTTTTGACGAGAGGTTTTGATCATTTCACCACCCAACCATATTCATGCCCAAATAAAGAGAATTGTTTTTCCAAAGTACAAAAAACTATTTATTCAACATAAAAATGTGCCAAAAAGGTGGAACAGCAACGAACCAGGGGCGAATCCAGACGATGTTTGAGGGGGGGGCATAGAAAGTCACGGCTCAATAAGGTTAGCGCGGAAGGGAAATTATATAGTAATCTTCTGAGATAAATGCTTTTTCATCAAAAAAACTGATTATGGTATCGAAATTACTGGTGCAAAAAAAACAAGTTCAAACTATTCTTATTCCATCAATATTATGTAGAATTCTGTAATAAATCATATTGGATAAAATAAGTAAATAATAAAATACTTCTCATGAAAAACTTGGGTACAAAAGTGAATAAAAATATTTTTCTTCAAAAACAAAACAGATGCAACAGACGAAAATAAAAATAGATAAAATAAAGAAAACAAATTCCAGTCTTTTATTCTTCTGCCTAGCGTATCATTGGATGATATTATCAACATTCAGACTGCTGCAGATGCCCCTGTGAATATGCATTGATGGCAATCCATTTAACCTGTCTTGGACCATTCCACATCGTATCCAATCTTTTAGCCTTCTGGGTGTTGAAAAACTTCTTTCAGATGATGCAACACTTACAGGCAGGCAACATAACAGTTCCAGAAGAATGTTTATGTTGGGAAACAAATATTTTTTGTTACATTCCTTCAGTGCAGTTATACCATTGTTTGGTATATTTTGCTCAGTATCCCTAATTTTCTTCCATATATACATTTCAGAAACGATCTTCTGAAAGGATATTCCATTATTCTCCTCAAAAAGGGTCGGAAACTGTTCAAGCATATTTCTCATACCTCATATATTTCCCCAACTGTTTTGTTTTTAGTTATTGATGGCACACAAAGGTGAAGGTTGTATAGATTCAATTTATTTTCTGATAGTCGTTCTTTCAGATCAAGAATAATACTGGGATAAAAACAGTTATTCTGTTATGGTCATCCACTGAGGAAACCGTAGGATTTGGTCTATGAACCATTCTCCCTGTTATTCTCGGCATCGAAAATTCAACATTCAGTTCTTTTAATTTCTGTTTGGCTCCATTCGAAACACTTAGATAGTGTTCAGAATATCTTCCCTTTTATTTTGAAGCGTCAGAAGAGTGATACTATCAACATCGTTTTTTGTTTGAAGCAAATTACTGAATGTTTTGATTTGGAAAAGTTAATTTATGATGAAAGATCTTGAACAAACAATATTTTTGAAACCGTATACAAAATATGCCCACGATAAAACCCAGTACGTTTCAAAATATCAATTTCATATTCGCAGATTAAATACCAGGAAGGATGACGAATCAAATATTCAAGATTATCTGCGAATATATACCATATGAACACCATCCGTATGCTCAAAATGTAGCGGAATGAAGTCAGTCAGTGACAAAATGTCTTAGTCAAACCTGTGAAATTCCCAATGTCAACTCATCTTCTCTTGACAGTAGTTTTCTAGGTATGTTCCATTGAAGTGCAGTTGCACTTATCACTGAATAATCTCCACAAACAACTTTCAAATCCGAATTCCATACAAATTTGCCATCATTCATTATTCAATTCTTTTTTCATATTGTCCTTGACCTGATTTCATCTTCCACTAACCAACGAACAGGACAAGGACATTAACATTACTCACTCATCTCTTGAACATACCACTTTTTGCAGGTGGACGAGGGCTATCTGATCCGCTTCAGGGTGGACCAGTTCCGATTAACATGCGGCAGGCAGTCGTTCTGGGCGATCTGACCGATAGCGTCGCAATTTCAATTATATTTTCACCAAAATCTGCTATACAACATGTGAAGAGTACCGCGAATACCTACTTATCTCTTGAACATACCACTTCATACAGACGGACGAAGGCTCTCTGATTCGCTTTGAGGTGGACCAGGTACGACATGCGGCAGGCAGTCGTTCTGGCCGATCTGACCGACAGCGTCGCAATTTTACTTATATTTTTACCGAAATCTGCAACACAACATGTGAAGAGTACCGCGAATGCCTACTTATCTCTTGAACCACAGTCGTCTTCAACTAACTGTGCTTGAACATACCACTTTTTGCAGGCGGATGAGGGCTATCTGATCCGCTTCAGGGTGGACCAATTCCGATCGACGTGCGGCACGCAGTCGCTCAAAGTTCGTGACGGCAACGCTCTCTCCGCCGACCTGTTGGCCGACCTGAGCGACGCCGTCGAGACGGGGCCGGCTGTCGTCAACTCGACCGGTTCGAACTTGCTGCTGGAGTTCTACTCGGAGGGGGTCAGCAGTAGCGGAAAAGCGTGCGTGGGAGGGTTCGTGGCGGAAACTTCACAGATTAGTGAGTATCGGGGTGTGGATTGTTATTACAATAGTATTATGAAACAAGACGTCACTAGACTAAACTCCTATGTATAAATATATAAATTGAGGACGTAGAAATAAGTCCTTTTTCCCCTTTAACCTTTGAACGGAACGAGCTAGCGAGGTCGAGTAAAATTCAGGCAAAATGGTACCTCTTTCACTAATATTTGGCAGGAAAATAGTTGTGGTCACGGGACCTAGTGTCAAGTGGGCACCTTCAACTTTTTTTCCAAATATGAAGAGAGGTCACGTGGTTTGTTTTAAATGCCTTTTGATTCTCTATCCAACACCGCTTCGTTTGTACAATTGGTGCTCAAACATGCTCGAAATGTTCATCGTTCATTTATTGAAACGGAAAAATCGGTTTTGGAATTCAATTCGAACGTGATTTATTGTTTCCGAGGTACATTTCAAACGCTTGTCATTTTGAAACGGCCTGAGCGATTTGCACAAACAAAGCGGGGTTGCCGGCATATAAAATTTTCAATGCATTAGGCCAGTCGATCAGTTCAAAATTCAACAAATATACGCGATAGATGATCAAGTATTCAACTGAACATTGATTCGTTCCCACTTCGTAGCTATTTATTTCCTCTTCGTAGTTAGAACGCGTCTCTTCTTTTGATAGGAATCAGGCTCATACGATGTTTCATCGCATGCAAAAATTATTTGCTGCAATAAATATAACAAGTTCCATTTCAGAGTTTGGATCCTTTCTTTTGTTCTGAACGTGAACATTTCAGAATTTGTAAAAAATCAGGTATTCCATTCTCAAACAGTTAAGGGCTTACTGATGCTATGATCCAACTGAAATCTGACACGTAAAACGTGTAGCTATGAAAGAAATGCCGCGAAAATTCGTGAAAAAATCCGACAGAAGTCGCAAGTGAGCGACTTCTTTCCGTGAATCACTGACATTCTAGAACATTGAGTTTCGGTTTTATGCAATTGTCATTCTCGTGACTGATTCACATGATCGCAATATCTTCAACATTGTGAGAAATTCCAAATTTCTGATATGTCGCCCATTGTCTCAAGAAAAAAATGCCGAAAAAATCGCTGAGACTGCAACACCGCATGTGAATTGTGATCAAGTTTACAGTCTGCAAGAGGATGAACAGTGGTACAGTTCAATAGTTGAACATCCATTGCGTATATCTGTTCAACTTTTTGCTGGTCGGCTGGTTGAATTAAATATAGTTCAATTGTATTGGAAATCCTATATGATGGCAAGTTTTTCCTTCATCTGTTGAAAGGCGAGTGAGAGAACGCAACTACTTCTAGAAATGTCGTTTGAACCATCATTTCACTTAGTAATCCGATTTAATAATATAATTCATGGTAGGTATATATTCAAAACGAAATCTTGCCAAGAGGTATCGTTCGATTTTACGCCGTATTACCAACATAAGCACTTCTCATAATTTTGTGTTAGAAACCTGAAGACAATAACAAAATGGAAAGACGTCCCTATATTCTTATGGCAATAATATAGGAAATCCCTCGTTTTTATCTGTTTTCGATACATTTCATCTGTCTTCAATTTCATTTACTTTTCTGATGAAACTATGACTTACTTCCACTACAGTTGTGATTATTATAATACAAAAAATCACGTATTTTAAGGAATGTTAATGATTATTTCACTCATCACATAAGCTGACCAATCACAAGCCAGAGACAACGTGGGCTTATTGCGAGAACATAAGCTGTCTTTCAATTCTGATTGGTACCAGCATAGATGTTTTAAACGATTTTACCATGGATAGCGAAGCAAAGTCTGGATGTAAAAATGGATAAGCGAAGCGAAGTCTGTCAGTTTGGCATAAAATGATCATGGCTGTACTTGTCAGAATGCTTCGTGAACGTAGGATATTCGAGCAAAATATCAAACTGTTCTGAATATCATCTCATAATTCTGTCATTCATTGTTTATTCCATTGTCTGCTAAATATGGAGAAAAAATCTAGTGAGCTGTAGTATCTGGTCTGCTCAAACAATGGAAATCACCTACAGGTTTCTGTGGCCGATACCGTAGTGCCGCCATACGGTCAACTCGAGGAAACACTCATTCCAATTGTTTTCCTGTCAAACCTACATAACCTTGAAAATCGTAAACGAGTTGAGCAGATCCCTCAGCGGTGCTCTCGACATTCTCGGCTTGCCGCGTAGTTTGTTGTTCAGATCACGACTTATAGTCATGGCATCATGGGTCACGGTCACTCAGTCATTCGAATATTCAAAAAATCATTCCTTCTCAAAATGGTTGCTACAGACAATACAATAGTCTCCAACACCTTCAACACCTGAATTAAATGGGAAGTAGAATGAGTAGTATGGATCATTAGCTTTTGATCAGAGCTCTGATTATCTCACTTGTAATGAGCCTGTAACACTCAATATCGAATGAATTCACTAATGTCGCAGAAGAATATCACTTGGAAATCTATGAATGGAGACATTTTCACACTTTCTGGTAGGCACAATTGAGAGACAGAGTTTGTAACAAATCATCAATCAGAATTAATGGTTTATTCAATCGTGTTGCCGTACAGAAATACCAGTCGTCCTGACTGACTCGTGGTGTTGCTCGGCAACACAATTTTGTGATCAATGAAGCGACAGAATTATCTCGAATATTCGGAACTTCCTGATATTACTCATAAATATTCTCCTGCGGACATCTGTGTTATTTCAAAGACACTAAATTTGATTTCCTTCTCATTTCTATTGTTGAATCATTTCGCTATTATATCGTGAAGCCATAGTGAAGGATATATACCTAGTGTATTATTGGCACGAAATAATTTTTTTTCTCTAATAGCTTAACTTCTCCTTTCATGCATATCGCCCGATAGATTCAGTTCAAAGTTATTTACAGAGTCATTGAACCTCAATCATTTTTCATCAGAAGTCACGAGTGAGTTCACTCTTCAACAAACTCACTCAATATAATTTTCTTTTCAGCCCAGGACATTTCCATTTCGAAAAATGTTTGGCCGAAGAGAATATTATCAATCTATCTCGCTTTCGATTTATCACTCAGCGATTGACCTATGCACTCAGCTTTCCGTTACACACATCCTCCTGAATCCTTTCCAATTCTTTACCTTTGCATTGATAAGATTGCGAGCAGTAAATTTTTGTCGTGCCTACAATATATTATTGTACTGTCTGACACGTTCGATAAATCATTCAGTTCTTCGAAACCCGAGCAGAAGTTCGTAACGAACTATACACTTCGAACATCATTACATCACCGTACATGTATGCGTTAATAAAAAAAAATATCAGTATCAGTTTCCCATTTCGAAATAGTATATTGTACAACTAGTGCAGCAAATGAGTTATTTCATACGAGTTCGTGAAAAGATGATTAACCATGAGCCGTGAGCGAGTGGTTCATCATATTGTCACGTGAAAATGATATAACCAAATTCCGCACGAGTTTTACACTATACTCTTCCAAAGAACTATTTGAAATATGAAAAATGTTTGAACGTGGGACAATAATTTATTATACTACACATTACAAGTTTTCATCCTCAGAACTTACCTAGTTTTAGAATTGGTATACACGATTATACTCGCATACTCGCATCGTCTATAAAAGCTCATTGTGCGATGAATTACACAAAATTAACGAATTTCATTTAACATTCAACAGTATCTGAATAAGCACATTAGACTTTCTAAGAACTATTGGAATTATAATAAATATTTTTTGTAATATTTGAACAATTTGTTCAATACTGGAATATGTATGAATATTCAATAATTATCGTTGAATCATTGAATTGATATACTATGTTCAAATTTGGAAGCTGGCATCGCGTCCAAATTTTTACCTGAAACCTTTGCTGAAACCAATGTATACCAAACCTTACTGACTGCGTTCTGATTGAGATTATGTTGTGATCATCTGAAACTGAATTTCCTCATTATTGATCAGTTCTCCGCTGAACACCAAATGTTTTAGGTCCACAGGGTTTGTTGATCCTTATTTCAGATCAAGAATATTCTCTGAATTCATATACTTTTCACTGCATATTTTAACTTCATTCATCGTATCAGAGAGGTGAACATTTTGAATATTGGAAATTGTGAGTTGATCAAAAATACATGTGGAATGGTGGAGAAGAAGTTGACTCACGACGTCGTCATGATGATAACAACGCTTGAGACCCGCATCAAGGTAGATTTCATTGAACGTCATTATTCGACATAAGAAATAATATCAGAGGATAAGTCTGTGTGGTCGAAAAATAATGAAGCTGAATATTGAATAATCCGAGACACTAAAATTATGTTCAATGCGACAGGTGATGTATGCATTTTTGACAGTTTCATCAGTTTCTAACGTTCGGGAACGAAATAGATATTCATATAACAAGGGAGGAAAGGTAATAATTTCCTCCTGCGTGTGAGTTTGAAGCACGTGAAGGGCTTTGAACACACATGGGAGGAAATCTACCTTCGCTTTTATGCTAGATAAGTATATGATTTTATCAGCGAACGCATTTTTTCAATGCATCATTCTTGGAATTGTGCTTCAGGCGGTCTATCTCTCAATTCAGATCATTGTGCATTACAAAGGTATAGTATGCCATGGACAATTGACGACAATTTTTAACACTTCTGTCATCGTGAATTAATTTATTTTTATATTGTGCAACTCCATTCGAAAGTTTTGATTGGTTAAACAAAGCGTATGATATCATTGGAATTCAAGAAGGATATTACTGTTATTTGTTTCATGATAGTGATAAAGACACATCTACGCCAAAGGATGCATGCTGAAGCCAATTTATTTCACCTTCCACGGGAGTTATTTTTTTTTTCCGGGAGTTGATAACATGTTTTACATTTATCACTAAGTGTGAAATTCCAAGACTGGAATTGGGAACGGAATGTTATTTATCATTCGAAACGATGATACAGCATTATATAATTCACTTCTCAATCACCTGCAATAAAACAAATAGAACAATCGTCATTTGCAGAAACCAATTTCATAAACATCGGGTGAGTCTAGAGGAGAAATATCATCTAATATGCTCACTCAAGCACAGCAAGGGTTGTTGAAAGTTTTAGAAGAAACATGTTATCATCAGAATTATATGTCTTTGTTCCAGTCTTGAGTCTTTATTGGAGTTTGACTGTATGTTACATTTCTATATCTACATATTCTCGAATGTTTTGATTCGAATAGGCTCTGGAAAGCAATTCTCAGTACTCTCCTAATATTTTGTCTTCCCCCTATTAGAAATGAGATGAATGAGTTTCTTGAGTACAGATGAACAAAGCATATCTCATTTCAGTAAGTTCTTCTCATATTATGTCTCATTCGAGTTTGATACAGCCGATTGCATTTATTACTATTATTATACGATGAATTTTGTTTGCAGGGTCAATAAAAAACAATATCAAGACCATCTCGGTCGCTCAAAGTGTCGGGGTCATTCCAGCAGTCGTCTTGAAACTAACTGCAGTCCACATCGCCGCCATATTTTTCCTCAGCGGGCTAATAATCGCAACAGCCCTTCTTGGAGCCCAGTATCTCTTTAGATACCGTAAATACCACATTGCGAGAGCTGAAGATCAGGATTCATTGGCAGATGCAACAGGTGAGGACATAAACAGTATTGACTGAATTGATTTAAACATATACCTATGTGTACAGCTTCTCACTTCCAACGCCCTTCCCCCCTTTATATCAGTCCTGCGATTCCTACCATATTTGGAATGGTATGAATAAACATCGATATGATCAGTGTTTTAGAGATGATCATTATTTTGGACAGTGCCGTGCGTTTTTATTGGAATACAAAGTAGTTATTTTTAAAGAAATCATATTGGGCATTTTTTCACAGGAAAACTGATCTCATAATATGGATCTCCATAGTTTAAAACCCACATTCCTGTGAACTATCATAAGACTTCTATAGAGAGCTTTGAAAAAACAGGCACATCCAAACCGTTTTTTTCCTAATGTGAATAATTATTCACTCAGATACGGTGACTTCAACAAAAAAAAAGTATATTTGGTTTCTTTCCTTCAGATCATGATTTTTCTACATACCGGAGCTATTGAACCCCACTAAGCAAATTTGAAAGCTATGTTAATGCAAGGTTGTTGCGATATTACAAATGTAAATTTGTGAATGTAACGTTCACACCAACATGTTATATTGCTGCAAGGATACATTATCAAACTTTACCTTCCCAATATTGCGGATCGTCCGTTTCAGTAGTTGCTTCAACATTGCATCAACATTGCTTTTAACTTTGCTTAGTGGGAACCAAGAAGAATTAGAGAAAAACTGCAGTTTGAAGAAAGTTAGGTAATTGATTTCGTCATTCATTGAAATATGGAAATAAGGTCAGTGGCGTACTCAGATTTTCTTTAATCGATTTTTTCTTCCAAGTCAATGCGAAATATCTATCTCCCTGTATATCGATCAAATTGGTATAACATGTATTCGATTCATATCCACTATAGTAAATTGCCCTTCAATTTTCAAAGCTGTATTTCTCAAGGATTCTGAGGTATTCTAGAAAATCTGAAAATAAAATGTTTGTTCATCGCCCTCTCACGGCACCACGGTGCGTTTTCGTATAGAGGTAAGTTGATCTCAATCGGCCTATTTTGATCTCTAGTAAACCCTGTAGAATTTATGGTACGTTGTCCTGGGACACCCTGTATATAGTGTACTTGAATCGAACCAGATTGGAACATAGAATTGAATATCAAGTATAAATTTTGGTACAGAAAAATATTGAGTGAATATCTTGATAGATGGTGACACTAGCGCTCCTTCGACGCTCAGATATGTTTTGTAAAGTCTCAACTCTCCTTACCATGGATCATTCCATATTCTGAATACTAATGTTAGTATATCAGAGTCGTGTTATTCAACACTCAGATGCAGACAAGGAGGCACCGCTTCTCAGCGTGATTATACACTCAATAAGTGGGTTTTCATAACAGAAAAATATCCGAGAAATATACATAATATTATCAGTTAATGCAAAATCACAACGGATACAGTGACAAAATTGTCACTGAATGATTGTATAGTACACCACTTTGGTGTTGAATAACACAAACCGATCAAATCAGCACTAGCTATTGTAGTTCTTGACTGTATGTAATAACGAATGACACCCTATGATGGTGTTGGAAATATCAGTGTTAATTCTCACAAAAATAATCAGGACCTCAAGGGACACTCAAGGGCGTTAGCTATGGTGTGAACTGGTGTTACTTTTTTTTACGGTGTATGAGACCCTGTAGGTTGAGGAACTTCATCAAATTTTGATGAATCATTTTGATGAATGAACGTTATATTCCACGACTTTCATAATATTGGTTTTCAACAGTGAGTTACCGAAACCATTTCTCAAAGTTGTTCTGATTGGACATAGATTGCTTGATGATAAATTGCCAAAACCCCTCATCTCTGAGAGTATGCATATTCGGACTGATCAAATACAAGCAACACCTGCGAATGTTTCATTGAAATGAATATCTAGTGACATACAGAAATTATTTAATTTAATTTGCTTTGATTTACGGTTACCCGTCCCATATTTGAAGTATTGGCGGAAGAATGATGTGTGTTCACCAAATGTTGAAATTTCATTGGGAACTATTTTACCCTATGGTTATAGTGTTGAAATAATTATTAGATTTTTATGAATATGAGGAACATTGTTTGTTGGATTCGTGGATAATAGTGTATTATAGTAGAGGAGGCAAAGAGGCTAAATAGGGATTTACTCGAACGTCGTTAGATTATGAAGATAAGATGCTAAAAAGGAAAACGTTTATATGTGGTCTGCCCTTTCACTGATGGAGAAAGCATGTGCAGGTTTTCAGAAATGTAAAGAAAATTAGTCACAAAGAAATACTGGAGCGCTTTCGGTACTTATAGTGCATTCGACTCAGTGTTTCTGATAACCAAAAAATATCAATCTGCCGGTTTGCATGGTGGGGGTGGCCGTACAAAGGGGGTATATTCAGTCTGTCTCAAGAAAAATTCCTGTCCTTTGATTTCAAACAGTATACGAGTAATTCAATGTGTGTACTGGGCCTTTCTGTAATATATTCATTTATTATTTTCACAGCAACACATCCAAAGAAATCTTCGAAAATAGCGTTGTAATGAAGAATATTCCTCGTCAGATAAACAAATTCCCACTTGTGTTTCACTATTTCAAGAGATAAGGCAAACTGCACAACTATTTGAAGGGATACGCTTGAGCATCATGAAAATTAGACTGAAAAATAACCCAAAAGCATTCCATTCGTCAACCCCATCAGAACACCATAAAAGGTCGGCGACCTTTCACTGTTCTATATAGATACTTCCACGAGAAATGTTTCTCTGAAAACTCTGCTATAATTCCATCACTACAACAGGCCCAGTCAGCACATACGTTCTTCGTTAACCTTGAGAAAAGTGGAACAACAATCTACCAAAACTCGATCGGCTATATAGATTGGCGAAGCTCGGCAATTCTGTGCGAATGGAAGTTTTCCCAAGAACTTATAACCTCCGAAAGTTAAAAAACAATTTCCACACCTACCATCTCTAAATTCTCTCCCCATTCTCCCAAGTTTGGCACGATCTTTTGCGAAAATTATAGAAATTTCCTCTCGTGCTCCTCAAGAGATAAAAAAAAAGCAAATGAAAAACGTCGAATCAAATATCACTAGCAAATAATAATGTTCAACCATTTTCATTATTCAAAGGAGGGAAGGAATGCTCGAAGTTGTTATTTTCATTTTTATGATCTCAGAGTGTACTAAGTGTGAAATATTCATGGATACGCGTGGTCTTTCGGAACACTTTCTATTCTAGTCTATTTTGAGCTTTCCGGTTAGGCTGTCGTGCTCGAATAGAGAAAAGAGATTCTGATAATTACTCGTGATTTAAACAATTGGATTGATCTGATATTCTTGCCTATAAATTAGTTACTCAAAAAAACATGGACAAGAAAACGACTATTCAAAGTATGTCAAGGAATACCATTCGAAGAAATTATCGTGAATTTGAACAGATTGCCTCGAATAGATTTTTTTTGCTGCGCCCTGTGAATTATAGTACTTGATGTTGTCTTGTTGACTTTGTCTTTCGTTATGCTCCCAGGTATCATAGGGCTTAAATAATCGGACTCACTATTGTCCCTCCCTGTGCATGCATGTATAATACTAATAATAATAATAATTACCGTTACATCTTGAAGTTGGCATATTTTATACCTATAGTCGTAATACTTTATCTCTGACATGGCTGCCGGCAAAGCGGTTTAAAGCAATTCGCGACTCGTTCTAAACATCAGAAATTCCCAGAAAGGCATAATTAAACGAAAACAAACGACTTTAATCAAGATGGAGATAGCAAAAAGATTTAGAATTCTCGTTTGTGTTGTTTGTAGGAAAGAAAGGGTTGGGGGACTTTTTTTGTCTAGGTCGAGTCACATCAGAGACCGCTTTAATGAACTAAGTTTTTGTGCTTTTGGGTAGACATTGTGGATAACAAGGACGCATTACAATGTCGTTATTCCCCTGTTCATTCGGAGACGTTTTTATCAGGAAAATCTTGCGGCTCATGCATGTCAATGATAATAAGTTCTTAATGATAATAATAATAATAATAACAATCATAACGCGTCTTCGATCAATCAAATTTTCAATAAAATAATTGCGAAGGAGTGGTCTCTCATTACATAACCACTCAATTTCAACCAAAAATTCAGCCAGAAAATAGATAATATCCAACAATGCTATAATAAGTTTTTATAGATAATGCATTGATATTACTGGTTGAATTTGTTCCATCCTTACACATGAGGGTAGTTGGTTGTAGAGTTCAGCTGCTATTCGAATAAACGGGTTCTGGGTTTTCGTACAGTGCAGATTTGTTTGGTTAAGGTACACTCGTCTTCAGTGATCATGTCGCGGTTGGATGGTATGAGCGCTCTCATTGCAGCGGTGATTAAGAGGGCTGTCACCGTCCATGTGCGACATGTTCTCTGAAGACTTCTGTACCTACTTATGCCGGGTGGTCCATTCAAGACTATCCACCCTCGATAACTCGCCGAAAAATGATTTCACAGACGGATTTTGAATGATCTCAAAGAGAAAAAATCATTGGGTGCCATATCGTTACCACCGATACAACAAGGCCTGCACGCTTCGCAATAAACATCTCGTGACGTCACATACTCAGGCCATCTTCCAAGGCATTCGCGTCGGTCGATCGTCAGTTTGTTTTTGTTGGCGTAGGTGAATCGCGTGTGCTCGAATTCTCTTGTTGTTTATTCATCAAAATAATTGGCGGAGAAATTACTGTTTTGTGAAATATTTCGTGTTGTGATAGGCGAAATAACAATGCCTAACAAGTGTTGGGTTCCCTTTTGTCGGGGGAATTATGTGGGTGGTCCAAAAGTTCATGCTTTTAGTTTCCCGTTGGACAAGGAACTATCGAGAAAGTGGGTATATGCAAAATATTGATTTCACCGAAGAAATCTAAGAAAATCATTCTTTCAATCCAGATATCATAGTCGAGGAATCTGATGTAGATAAATATTGTGATGACATGCCGGTAATAACCTATTG